CGTGCCCCAAGAAGCATTAACCTTTGTTTTCCTCATGTGCCATCCTAAAGACTTGCACATTGTTATTTTTCAGATAATCTAACATTTTCAATAGAGAATGTTCTCTACCAAGTGGTAATGCTTTGGTACTATTCATATAGGATTGCTTATTCTAAAGACTTGACATTTCCCCAAGAGGAACTTTGATTCTGCTTTAAGTTTTGATTCTGCTTTTTAAGTTTCATATAAATTAAAATCTGTATCAAATATCAATATGGAGTGAGGTGACACAGGATGCAACATATACAGTCAAGTTACCTTTGCCTATTTAGAAATTACTCCTTCAAGATATTTGCACCAGAGAGCTGTCTGTCCTGCTTAATATTCAGTAGTACAGGTTTGAATCACCAGAACCTTGGCAAGACCTTAATATTTCAGTTATTAACAACTACCTCTAGGGGCAAGTCCATGTTTACTGAGTTATGACAAATTTATTATAACGAAGGAAAACAAGTGTAGCCAGCCATCTTAAAAAATGCCCCAACCACTGCTTCTCAAAATAGAAAGACTAAAACTACATACGTTTATCATACAACAAATCCCATCTCTGTCCCCTGAAAATTCCCCTAACTTCATTCATTAGAAGGGGATTTTTAAAAAAGACTTAAAGAGCACTTTACAGCAGCATTCAGCTTTCCTATGAAATACTCAGCATCTTAAATATTATGTACACTTCTTTTTTATCTCTTAGTAAGCTTCACTGGCTTCAGAGTTTGTGGAACTGGAGGAAAAATAACCCATTCAAAACTATTCTACAAATCCATCTTTTGGCAGAATAGCAGGTATCCAAATTAAAAATAGGAGGGTCATTTTGTTGCTTTGTTTTCCAAAATTTAAATCATTTTTGCTCCCCTTCTACATAAAGCTTAGTCACCACTCCTGAGTGGAGATGGGCAGAGGTTCTGGCCCCTGCTCCTCCGGCTTCTCAGCAGCTGCTTTCTTATTGCTGCAGCAAGGTTTGAATAGATGTGTGTCGATGAGGACTTCCCCAAAACGGCCTTTATAGATAATGCCACAGCATATTTTCTGTCTGCACTGTGGGACACTTGGGTTCAATCCATGAGTCGGGAAGATCCTCCGGAGAAGGAACTGGCAACCCACTCCAGTGTTCCTGCCTGGAGAATCCCATGGACTGTTTGTACTTTTATATCTGAATCCATCTAGCATTTCCCCTCAGACAACTCAGAAGTCCTTTGAGTGGACCACTTCCAAGTAAGTGTTCCTCTAAGATTTGCAGGGCCTGAGAAATTGTACAAATGGAAGTCCATATATCTAAATACTATTTTAAAAGCCACTGGAATATATTATCATACCAACATAAATTCAATTTTCAAATAAAATTGTCACTTTTTTATGTTTTCAAGAGTAATTTTTCTAAAATGTTCAAAATCAAAAGTTAAAGGGAAGAAATATAATTTATGCTTAATAAACCTTAAGCATCGAATATCAAGTATTTAAATAAAGTTGAAACTTTTCACTTGACATTTTGAAAATGTAATGAAATCTTATTAAATAAAGTTATGATTCTAGTGTTCAATATCAAGTGTCATGTTTCATGCACTTTATGTGTGTTCATATTAAAGAGTAATATGAATTGTTTAATTTTGCGAAATACTTGCCATCCTCCATGTGAACTGCTGCAAATACTGAATTAATTTATGGGTACCTCTGGGATCTTAAATTAGAGCCTGCAGAAAAATAAGAAAATGGTTATTTAGTAGTGCTGGGAGATGGTATGTTCTTATACAAGAATCTATTGCATTCAAGGAATCTTAGTGGAGGGATCTGACAAGTGGACTTATCTTTCTTCTATTACCTAAGCTCTTCCATTGTTTGTATTCACTGGTGAAGCAGTCTCTGTCTGCACAGGTAGTGGCACAACCTAGGAATTTCACAGCATTCAGATATTGTTGCCTTTTGTTTCAAGGACACTGGCCATGGATAAACAGCTCCCTGGGACCTGAGCTATGTTAACCATGAGAACGGGGTGTCACAGTGTTGAGTGTGAGATCGCAAATAACCAGAGTGTCCTGTGTTCTTTAATGCATGTGTGCATGTGTTTGTGGTTTTCAGGCTCCCTTGCCAGCCTGGGCCAAGAGCAGAGTCTATCCCTACTCAGCCGAAAAAGAAAAACTAATCTTAGGCATAAGGTGAGATTACGAGCATGGTCTTTCTTATCAAAATCTCACTGACTCTGATGAATGCAGAGTTGGGGTGGAGGCGGAAGGCAGACCAGTGGGTCTCACTTTGCTAATAAAAATAGGCTTTCTCTGCTGAGTTACATAGCATAGCCATTTAAGTGTCACCATATCTGCCAATCTGGCTGTTAAATTCACTGAACTGCAAAGGACAGAGGCAAAGTTTCTCGTTCATTCATTCACTCACTCAATGTGAGTTTACTGAGCACCTGTTTTGTGGGTGTTTTCTGGGCTCAGAGAATGAAGAAACGAATGGTGCTGTGAGGGTCTCACAATGTAGAGGAGACAGACGTGTAACAAAGGTAACACTGCGAGGTAAGTATTTATAGGTGTGCTTAAGGGACCCCGGGCACACAGAGGACAGAGCAACTGCTGTCAGTGTGGCCTAGAGAAGGCTTCAGAGGACCAGGCAGAGTAATGCTAACTTCCATTAGCTGAATGCCTGCCATGTTCCAGACTTGCTGCATATGCTGTCGTGTTTACCGCCCACAGTAATTTGCAGAGGTAGTCATTTGTGTCCCTTTAATGCATGAGAAAATTGAGGACCAGAAAGGTTAGGTAAATTGCTCAGTGTTACAAAGCTAGTAAGTGATGGTAAGATGTTTAACACTCATATCTTCCTAATTCCACTATGGATGGACTTTTCACTCTGTCCTTATATTTGAAGAGTCTTGAAAGATGTGTAGGAATTTACTTGAGCAAAACAAGAGGGTAAAGAGCATCCAGGCAAGAGCAATAGCATTTGTTATTAAAGATCTCAGGTGCGAACTAAAATTATAAAGCATAGCCTAACCATAAAGATGAAACCACATAAAGGTATAACCACAGCCATTTGACTGATTGCATAGGGCCCTGTGCAAATCCTCTTGCTTGGCTGATTTACAATACTTTCTAAAGGTCCAAGCTCCCGGTAACACCTAAATTCTCTCCATTCAGACACGGCATTACTGCTCTTTCATGAATGTTCTCCTGGGTGTGTGTGTTCATGGTGGGGAAAGAGGGTATAGGGAGATTCTCTAGTGGGCGCCCCTGGTACTCTCCCTGTGGATTTCTTTTTTCTAAGCCTTTTTAAACTTGAAATTAGTTTTCCAGACATTTACCAGCAAGCAGTTTGAGACATGAGACCGTGTCCTGTCTATGGCACCATCTGAGGGTAACATGGATTCTCCAACATAGACTCATCAGCACTGGAGTCTGGTTTCAGTAAAACAAACCAAGGTGAAATGAAATATTTTCTGCCATATGGTGAGCAAGAAATGTCACAGCCATCAGTGAGTTCAGGCCTCCAAATGTGAATGGAGTCTCCCAAAATGGAACACAATGCCTGCAACCCAGCAGATGCCACCAACCCCCACGCCCTCCCCCCCACCCCCCACACAGATTGCTGAGGAGCTGGGCGTGGGGGGAATGCAAGAAGAAGCCATATGCCACATCTGCCACCCCTTACGGTGAGCCAGGAATTCAGAAGGTAAACAATCTAGAAACAGGATTTGGCCCCATATAGCTGGCAGCGGCGGCTTGAGTGGCTTCAGTTGAGTCTGACTTTGTGACCCTATGGACTGTAGCCCGCCAGGCCCTTCTGTCCATGGGATTCTCCAGGCAAGAATACTGGGGTGGGTTGCCATGCCCTCCTGCAGGGGAACTTCCCGACCCAGGGATCAAACCGCATCTCTTACGTCTCCAGCATCCGTAGGCGATTTCTTTACCAGTAGCGCCACCTGGGAAGCCCGCCAGATAGCTGAGGTACATGTAAAAGGAATGAATTCAGTGAGCCCCGAGGCTTGCATCTTCACAGACACAGAACACTAAATTCCTTAGCTGGACTTCTGGCGTTCCTTACCACTTCACAATAGTCTTTGATGTTCAGACTGCCTGTCCACTTTGTTACAAACTTGTATATAGCCTTGTATATAGCCTGACTCCCTTTCCCTGTCCTGACTCCTCAGAACAGTTTTCTCAGGGCTACTGAGACACTATTTTCCAGGCTGTCTTCCAGGCTCAGAGTCCTTAACATTCCCACGAAATAAAATAACTCTCTACTCTTAGGCTGTGACTAATTTTTTTAGTTAACACCAAAAAACACAAAACAATCTAATTAATATAGATGGCACTCCCTCAAGCAAGTTCTACTCCTTTCTACCAAAATCAGTCTTCTGGATGCATTTCCAGTTGGAAATACAGTAGTGTTTTTGTTAACGTTTCCATAAAGCGTATTAGATTAAATTTACTCCAGTCGGCCTCAATCAATTTTTAAACAGTTGTTTACACTGTGACTAGGACAAGAATGCAGACTCCTCACAGCATCTGTTTATAAGTTTGCACCCACAGCAGAGGGAGTGTGGGGCACAGGAGGATGGGATCCAGGCGCCAGTCTCGTTTCTGCAGTGCCTCTCACGTGCTAGGGACTCCGCGTTTGTCAGCTGGACCTGTGGAGGGCCCCCGGAAGGGAGGGCTGCCGCTTGGAGCGTGGAATGCAGCGCTGGACGCAGAGCCGCAGCGCATCCTCGCTCGGCAGACCTTAACTCCAGCTCTTCCGGCCCACCCCTCCTTCTCCGCACAAAGTCGCCAGGAGGAGGAGGGCGGGGCGCAGGCGGGCTGTGGGCGGTGGCCTCGCTGGGCGCCTGCGTGGGCAGGAGCCAGGTGGGCAGGTACCTGGGCGGGGCGCGCTGTGGTTGGCGGCGGCTGGGGCAGCACCCGGAAGGACCTGCGACTTAGCCAGCGCAACAGGCGGCTGGAGGGGCAGCCGGGGGGACCAGTCCCGCCATGGACAAGCTGAAGAAGGTGCTGAGCGGGCAGGACACCGAGGACCGGGGCGGCCTGTCCGAGGTGAGTGCACCTTGGCGTTCCACCCCCCTGGTCGCACTCTCCTCCGCCCCGCGGCTGCTGCTCCCGTGCAGCGGTGGCAGGTCCGTCGGGGGCCTCGGAGAGCACCAAGCCCGGCCCCCCAGCTCCGCCGGCTCCTGTTGCCGGCTGGTGAGAAAAGGATGCTGGATTTCTAGGATTTCTTGGAAAGCGACTCTGCCTCTGCCCCTTTCTCCTCCCCTGCAGGCTCCAGACCTTCGCGTTCCCCTCACTTCCCGCCCCAAGTGCCAGGGCCCAGGTTGCTTAGGGCGGTTGGCACCTGTTTACTTTTTTGTCCTTCACCCTTTCAACCTTCCGCGCCCCAACCCCCGACAAGGGGAGGGCCACGCTGGAGCGAAACCTAGAAACAAATGCGGAAGGAAGGGTGGCCATCGGCGGCCCCATTCCTGCTGGCCGGGGAAAAGGCTTTAGAGCCGAGCTAGGCAGAGGCCTCTGAGAAGCTGACGGAGGGAGTCCTCGTATAGATTGCCTGGGCTAGGCCCTGGCGAGGGTCCCTGCTCGATGCCCACTGCGCGCCGCACCCTGGTGCTCCCGGCTGCGTTCTTGCTCGGTTTAAGCTGTGGAGTGTGGCATGCCCACCCAACGTTTGTGTATACTGTTGCTGTAAATTGTCTCCAGGAAAACCGTAAATTCCTGGAGCTTTGGGACCGCATCTTGTTTCTCTGCCTGCACACAGACGTCTTAGACCTCATAGACCCCCAGAACCTCTTGAGGCCGCCTGCTTGTGTGTTTAGTTTACTGGAAAGGTTTGGTCAAGCTGAAACGTGGGCAATACTACCCGCTATGTTCTAGAGCTACACAGTGTGTTTATTGCCTATTTCTAATGCTTTTAACTTTTTTTTTTCCTTTGTGGATGGCAAAATAACATTTCTCTTTATTCTTTTTTTTGTTTTTCTATGGGCCTTGGTTTTCTCATCTGTAAAAAGAAGCCGTTGCACAAGATAATATAGCTTCTTTCAACTTTGTACCTAAGTTTTTCCTCCGATTTTCATCCTTGTCTTTATTGGTTATCTCAGCATGTTGCTTTCACCTGGTTTTGCAGTTGCTGATTTTATGTTGAGTGACCCTCATAGCCCCACCCCTCCATGAAATCTCAGAACCCTAAAACTTGCTGTCTGAATCTTCACCTTGAAGAAGTAACACTATAGATGTTGAGTGTTACAGGAATTGGGGTTTAACTTTTTTTGGACAATTCAAAGCAGCCTCTGGCTTCTTTTAAATCTATTGTCTTTATTAATTGGTCAAGGCTCAGAAGTAATTTCATTAGTTCCTTGTTCTTGATTTCTGGCTTCTAATATGAACCCTTAAGCCCAACCTCAGACTAGGCCTAAGAGAATTTAGATGGTTGACAGTCATGCTTATCTTAAGTTTTATGCTGCACAGACTGTCAATAAGTTTTTAAAGCAGCTGGGGTTCAAAAGGGAGATGTTTTCTTTTCCTGAGGATTCTTGGGGGGACAGTGGGAATTATGCAGTTATTTTTATTTAGAAAACCATCATGAAGTGGCAGACCCTCAAGAATGAATGATGGTAGTACAGATTGAAAATATAAATGATGAGTTTGTTTTTACCTAAAATAGAGAATGCCTATGTTGGATACAATGAAGGGCTTTAAAGAGTTGTAAGCCCAGGCATGTAAATTCTGTTTTGGGAAGACTAGGTGCTTCTCTCTTGTTCTAGAACATTGCTGTCAGTTTCCTCTCTCTTGAGTGTGAGATTCCTGATTACATACATCACTGTGTGGTACTTCCTGAGTCCCAACTCCCAGGAAGCATTTTGCATGCACCTGAATCACTCTCAGGGTTGTTTTTGGCTTAGTTTTTACTTATTAGGTCCAGGCCACCTTGAAAATGTTGGTCTTGTCTCACATTTCCTATGCTTTTAAGGCTTGAGGATGCTGGTGAAATTTCTGTGGTTTGTGTGTGTGTGTGTGTGTGTGTGTGTGAAGTTAGACTCGGTGAACTTAAAGTCTCTTTCAGTTCAGTTCAGTCGCTCAGTCGTATCCGACTCTTTGCAACCCCAGCACGCCAGGCCTCCCTGTCCATCACCAACTCCCAGAGTCCACACAAATTCATGTCCATTGAGTTGGAGATGCCATCCAGCCATCTCATCCTCTGTCGTCCTCTTCTCCTCCTGCCCTCAATCTTTCCCAGCATCAGGGTCTTTTCCAATGAGTCAGCTCTTCGCATCAGGTGGCCAAAGTATTGGAGTTTCAGCTTCAGCATCAGTCCTTCCAATGAACACCTAAGACTAATCTCCTTTAGGATGGACTGGTTGGGTCTCCTTGCAGTCCAAGGGACTCTCAAGAGTCTTCTCCAACACCACAGTTCAAAAGCATCAATTCTTCGGCACTCAGCTCTCTTCACTGTCCAACTCTCACATCCATACATGACCACTGGAAAAACCATAGCCTTGACTAGACGGACCTTTGTTGGCAAACTAATGTCCCTGCTTTTTAATATGCTGTCCAGGTTGGTCATAACTTTCCTTCCAAGGAGTAAGTGTCTTTTACTTTCATGGCTGCAGTCACCATCTGCAGTGATTTTGGAGCCCAGAAAAATAAAGTCAGCCACTGTTTCCACTGTTTCCCCATCTATTTCCCATGAGGTGATGGGACCAGATGCCATGATCTTAGTTTTCCGAATGTTGAGCTTTATGCCAACTTTTTCACTCCCCTCTTTCACTTTCATCAAGAGGCTCTTTAGTTCTTCTTCACTTTCTGCCATAAGGGATCTGCATATCTGAGGTTATTGATATTTCTCCCAGCAATCTTGATTCTAGCCTGTGCTTCCTCCAGCCCAGCATTTCTCATGATGTACTCTTCACATAAGTTAAATAAGCAGGGTGACAGTATACAGGCTTGATGTACTCCTTTTCCTATTTGGAACCAGTCTGTTGTTCCATTTCCAGTTCTAACTGTTGCTTCCTGACCTGCATACAGGTTTCTCAAGAGTTTACGTTCAATTATAAAAGGTGTCAGATGTCACCAGAAATGAGTGCTTTTAAAAAATGTTATTCTTTTAATTCAAACAATAGAAGTATGATTAGTTCTGTTTCTCCTACTTATGAAACTGCAGAGTTATAAAACTTGCCTGGTAATGTCTAGTCACAGATGGGTTCCTGATGAGTTTTCTAATTGATAACTTGGTCTTCATAAAGTCAACTTCAACCTTTATTTTCTGTGAGTTTTTTGAAAGTAGAGGCTTTGTGTTTTCTCTACAGGATTGTAGGGACGAGGAAGGTCTGAATGGTACCTGGTTTGAAAGCACAGGAATGACGCAGTATTCCTTTCTCACCTTCTTCTGGTTACCAATCCTGTTTTCCTGAATGATTCTCAGTTTTTCTTATTTTATCAAGAGTCCCTCTTCTCCACATCCCAGAGTCAAAGGGACCTTTGTGCATAACTACCAGTCAGATAGCCTGGGAGCTGTTTGCCTATAGCGTCTATCCATGTGCTATTCCAATTACTCTAATTTCCAAAAAGTGCACTAGCAGTTTCTAGAGACTGTGAATTTAGGGAGTTATTTTGCATCAACACGGTTGATCTTCACAAACTGACAAAATGACATGTTTGGTTTTTGCTGGGTCCAGTTGGAAGTGAAGCAACAGCAACAGTTTCCTCTGGCCTGCGACCAAGCACGGGTGTGAAAGAACTTCCCATTACATTGATGAAAAATTTTGGCCCCCTCCCTCATTTTGGCAAATAGGGTGACATTTGAATGGTAGTCAGCTTGAGAGACGTGTAGAAGCAACATGTTACTTTCCTTTCTTAAGGTAGAAACCAGAACTTCTTCCTATAACAAATGATTTTAATTTTTACAAGAGCTGGCATCTCATCATCCTTTTGAGGCTATTTTGTGCTTTAAGTGCCAAGGCCATATCAGATTGATACTTTGTGGCTTATTCTCTTTAAAAAACAGGTGACTCTTAAAATGTCTCTGTAGATGCCAAGCAATCCTATCTCATCTTGCTACCACAGGTTTTTTTTTTTTCTCATGTAGCTCTGTTCCTTTCTCTGCCTTGACAAGCTCCTTCTTTGGTGCTTGCATGAGTAGCAAGAGTGGTAGCTTTTGATTTTTTTCCTCTGTCCTTGGCAGGAGGTTGGAAAAGGGTCTACCCGGCTTTTCTGGGCTGCTGGTCAAGCCTGGCAGCAGGGCATCACGAGGCTCGTTCTGGGGCAGAGTGTGGCATCGGGCGGCTCGCGGTCAGCTCCTGAGCCCTGCTGCCGCCTCTGAGCGCGCCGCTCGTCCTTCTGTCGCCACGCGTGTCCGCAGGTGCCCCTTGTGTGCTTGTGTACGTGGGGGGGTTTGCCGTGTCCCGAGCCCACTTTCAATGTGTGTGAATAGATGGGACAGGAGCGCCCCTTTTGATAAGCTGCTCTAAATACTTTTCTTGTGAGTGGAGAGGAAGCCATGCGGTGGCAAATCTTGCCATGCCTGCGGGAGCCTCGGTCCTGTTCTTCTGGCTTCTGGTTTGACAGGAAGTTTGGAGACAGGGTTGAGAACAGTCCAACCCTGGGACTGGGAGCAGTCAAGGCGGTGCCCATCTAGTGACCTTTGCAGCCTCCACCACACTGCCTTCTTCGATTAGCTGTGGGAACGTGGAGTCTGTAAGCTCTTTTACCACATGGCCTGGTGGAGACTGTGCTGTCCACTTGAGGTGAGGCCTGGGTGAATGAATATACATGGGGCCTGGCTGCCCTGCCTCAGCTGGGCTGGAGAAAAGGCCTTTGGTCTCCCTGGCAGCTACCTGTGAACCTTGGAACAGCTGTGGCCGCTGCATGAGGTTGAACAGGCCTCATGCCTCTGGTGCAGACACCTAAATGTCATCTTTGACGTGAGGAAAAAAGCCTCAAGAGCTACTCATAGGCTCCCTTGTTTTAGCAGAGTTTTTCTGGAAATCTTGGCCTCTTCTGAACTTTGCTCTTGGGAAGGATTAATCGTGGTGGCAGAGAGGGATGAGTAGGACAGTCATTAATTAACTAGGATCCATCTCACATGAGGGTGGCTTGGCTGATGCCAACACCTTGAAGAACAGTTTCTACCAAGAGTGCATAGACTTGGATAAGAATCCTGATTAGGATGAGAGTCAGACTCCTCCCGGGTCCTGGAAGGGCCAGCAAAAGCAGTGAGCGACAAAACTTGGCTGGTTGAATTAGGAGATAGTGCCGCATGGACCCAACTGCCTGAGTGCCACCCCTGTGTCCTCCCCGCTTCCTGGGTCTCTTCAGGCAGAGCTCACGCTGTTCCAGGCATACTCCTCATCTTGCCTGGGCTGCCGTCAGGGCTTGGGCTACTCTGGGACCTTCTGCAGTCTCGCCTTTCTGTTTGTGACGTGCATGGTGCTTAAGGCAGAGAGTTTTCCCCTCTGGAGATATTCAGCCAGAAGCTTGGTAGCCTCTAATTAGCTACAGGAGAAGAGATTCATGGGACGGATCAGGAGCTGGATTCAGTGACTCATGAGGGCTGTTGCAGACGTGACCAAGTAGGAGGCCGTGTTCCTGCGTTCCTCAGTACAAATTCCAGATTTAATTATGTGTATCCTTTGTTTTGGTGATTAAATATGCATACACATGTATGTAATTAGTTTTTTATTTTATTTTATTTTTAACTATTTTAGGTTGTTGAGGCAACTTCATTAAGCTCGGGCACCAGAATAAAAGGCTTCATTGCCTGTTTTGCCGCAGGAATTCTCTGCTCACTTCTGGTAAGACCTCTCTCCCCTCTTCCAATCTTTTCCCCTGCCTTTCTTCTCTCCTCTTTCTACTTTCATCAACCTCCTTTTCTCCTTTGTTTTTCACTGAAATGCATGGACAAGAGGAGGGGAGGTAACAGAGGTGCAGAGGGAGCCAAGGGGTGCAGGGAGGGAGCAGGTTGCTCTGTGAATCCTGGTTCTGCGGCTGTGCTAGGAGGGGATCCTCATGTGCAAATGCCCTGTGCCTTGTCTTACAGGGAACTCTTTTGCTCTGGGTGCCCAGGAAGGGACTGTATCTCTTCGCAGTGTTTTATACCTTTGGTAACATCGCATCTCTTGGGAGGTAACAGTTTTGTTTTTTTTTAAATCTAACCTTAGCCAATTATTAGATGGGGAAATGGATGTAGATTGTGTTCAGCGGGAGGTGAAGGAGGATGCTTCAGTAATTATAAGGATTTGGAGAGTAAAGAGGTCGTTAAAACACATCACTTTCATATCCTATCACTTCTATGTATACATATGTATTTTTAACTTCAGCATGTATTTACATCTTAGTTCATCTTTGAAGTACCCTTGGGAGGAGGCAAGAACCACTTGTAAAAGTTACCACTGTAATTTTACACGGAGCAGAGCAGTTGAATGACTTCTTCACTATTTACAGCTCCACCGTCTCCAACACCACCTTCCCCACTGCTCTCGTCTTATGTTCTGCTCCTCGCTGATGGACTTACGTGCTCCCACCTTGTGCTGGGCCCAGAGGATTCGAAGACAAACAGCGTTTGGTTCCTCACTGGTTGGCCAGGCAGACAGACATGTAGCATATGGAGAGAGTGATGCCTGGGAGAGGGGCAGGTGGGCTGAGCTGATCTGACCCGACTTGGGGAGCCAAGAGGACTTTCTGTGGAGAAGGTGCTGTCAGAGCTGCTCAGAGCTCTGGCATCTATCACTGCTGCTCTGAAGGCTGTAGGAGTTTCCTGTCGGGCTTCCCTGTCTCTTTTATGGACCCCTCGCCGGGCCATTTTCCACAGAACTGTGGAGTCACTCATTTTGTAGCCCAACTTACCCCCTTTAGTGGCCCCCCATTCCCTCTCAACAGGTGAAGCCTGAACCCCTCAGCGTGCATGTGGGGCAGACCCTTCCAGTCCTCCTCCTCAACCAGGCTCAACTTGTATTTCCCCCAGATGTTTTTGTTCTTTGCTGGGACTGTTTCTCTGCCTGGGGCCCTGGCCCATGTGCACCCCATATTTGATGGGTACTTGCTTATTTGTCAATACCTGACTCAAAAGTCACCTCTTCTGTGAAACTTCTTTTAATTCCATTTTCCCCTTCAGAATCACTGACCTCCTCCTTTAAAATGGGCTCTGTCTATCCCATATATATTTACGTGACAACACAGATAGCATTTTATTATACTGACTTGTTGCAGGTGTGTAAAACACTTGACAAGGGCTGCACTTCTCTCTTATTTGTCTCTACATGTCCCCAAATCTAGGTCTTTTTCTGGCTGGAAATGTTAATCAAATGATTAAGTATAATGCACTGGACACCTTCCTGAAGCTTGATTTATTAATTCTTATGATAGGGCTTCCCTGGTGGCTCAGAGGTTAAAGCATCTGCCTGCAATGTGGGAGACCTGAGTTCGATCCCTGGGTCAGAAAAGTCCCCTGGAGAAGGCAATGGCACCCCACTCCAGTACTCTTGCCTGGAGAATCCCATGGATGGAGGAGCCTGGTGGGCTACAGTCCATGGGGTTGCAAAGAGTCGGACACGACTGAGCAAATTCACTTTCACTTTCTTTATGATAGTATAATGCTGGACCTTGAGATGTCTAATCTTGCTTTAAAGCTCTCTCAAAGACTAACTTTTGGGGAGTTTTGTTTTGGGTAGGCAGCGTAGGTTATAATGTAGGGTCTAGATTGAGCAGAAATATATAGGTGTGTTAGTCCAAAAGAACTATTTAACAAATCCTAATGGAACTGACCCTTCATGGCATTGCTTGGGGAGATAATAAAGGGAGTGAATTATTTCAGCATGTGTCTAGGAGTTTGTGGCTTTACCTGTAATCTTTTATATTTTTGTATACGTGCTGCGTTTAATTTTGAAGTCCACCTTTGGCTCTTGTTTCTTGTTCAGTGTAGGCTTACAAGTGCACTCAGCTCTAACACTTGACCTGACAGCCTTGAATTCAAGTGGAAACCTAATGGCACTTCAAAGAGAGGCAGATTTATTTAACTTTTTAAAAAAAATTTTTTTATAGAACACTTAGTAGCCAGTGTCATCTTCTGGTTGGCTTGTGTTGAACACTGACTATAACCAGCTACTCCTGGAGTGACGCTTCTGTCAGGAGTCAGGAAGCATGACTTATAGCTGGCCCTGGCTCTTGGTGTGTTAGGCGAGTCTGCTTCATTTGTGTTTACTCTTTCTTATTAGCCGCCTCTCAAATTTCATCCCTGCAGAAGACATGCTGAGCCTGTCCTTTGGAGCTTGGTAATCCAATAGATGTGGGCTGGAATGCCAGCTTGTTTAAGTGCCTAGCTGTGTGATCTTGGAAAGTCACACAAGTAAATTAACCTTTCTGAACTTCATTTTCTCAGCTCTAAAATAAGTGTAATAATACCTAACTGCCAGAGTAGTTGAGAGGATGAAATGGAATCATGTATGTGATATCTAGCATTTAGCAAATAGTCCACACATCATGGATGCTACTACTACCATCATTGGAATTATTCTCTGGAGATTATGAAAGAAAATGGAATTCTCTACTTATTAACATAAACCACCTAAGCCTCTAAGACATGGTTTTTCCTGTTTCAGTTACCTGAGTGCTTTTGTCTCCGTGGGTAGGTTGTTAAGCAGGCCAAGGTAGCACCTGTGAGAGCGGGGTCCTCTAGCCTAGTGGTTATGGGGGCAGTTCTGGAGTCAGGTCGGCATGCATCTGCAGCCTCCCTCTACCATTTTCTAGCTGGATGGCCTTGATAGGTAATAAGTACTTCTGGATTTAAGGTTCTTCATCTGCGAAACAAGTATGGTAACTGTTCTGTGATCCCTCCATAAACTGTTAGTGGGTTGAATGAGAATCAGGCACAAAGGCCCTGAGCGCAGCACCTGGCACAGAGCCTTTCAAGTGCTGGCTACTGTCGCTGCTCCCATTGCCACGGGTGAGCTGGAGCAGGCGGTGAGGAGGCACCTTGGTGTTCCCAGTGTGGGTGGGTTCTGGTCTGAATGGCTTGTCTGTGTTTACTCCTCAGCACCGCCTTCCTCATGGGACCAATGAGACAGCTGAAGCGAATGTTTGAGCCTACGCGTTTGATTGCCACTATCATGGTGCTGGTAAGGTCTGCCTGTCAGGTGACAGAAGTTACCTGTTTAAAGTAGGGGTTTTTGTTCCTGCTGCTTGGAGTTTTTTTCCTCTTAAACCTATAGAGTTCTACCCTTTTCTCTTTCATCTTCACTTACAACCCAATGTCTGTACCCACTGTGGCAGAAGGGGGCATCCCTTTTTAAAAATTTACTTTTATTTATTTATTTGGCTGTGCTGGGTTTTAGTTGTGGCATGCAGGATCTAGTTCCCCCATCAGGGATCGAACCTGGGCCCCTTCCATTGGGGGTGAGGAGTCTTAACCACAGGACTACCAGGGAAGTCCCAGGAGCATTCTTTATCTAATAATTTTTCTCTTCCCTCTGACTTGTGTTTTAGTTGGTATGAGGTATTGCCAGTTCTATAAAGTTCCCAGAAGGTTTCGCTTGTCAGTTTAGTCGAACTCAATGTGGTAATGGGCTTCCCAGGTGGCCCTTGGAGTAAAGAGCCTGCCTGCCAATGCAGGAGACATGAGACGTGAGTTCGATCCCTGAGTCGGGAAGATCCCCTGGAGTAAGGCATGGCGACCCACTCCAGTGTCCTTACCTGGAGAATCCCATGGACAGAGGAGCCTGGCAGGCTACAGTCCATAGAGTCACAAAGAGTTGGACGTGACTGAAGCAACACAGCATGCATGCAGTCACGTAGTAATAAGAGAGCTGTGGCATCCTTCTGGTAATAGGTGCTGCCGCCTACAAGTAATAAGAGAGCTGTGGCATCCTTCTGGTAATAGGTGCTGCCGCCTACAAGCAGAGCTAGGAGGGCATTACCCAGGAACACAGGGGTCATTCTCTAGAGTGGGTATCCAGTCTAACATGGTCTCTTTTTCTCCTTGTCATTATCTGACTTTGGAATTCCATTTGTTTTTGTCAATTTTCCCGCGGTGGGTCTGGTCTCCCTCTGGCTCAGCACCCCTGTTCCCTGCTGGTCACCACAGTGCCTTAAGTCTTGTCCTGTCTTTCTCTCCCTAATGGGGAATGCTTCTCTTTTCCTTGGGCCATTTTATTCCCTTGGACCATCCCATCATTTCAGACCATATTGTCTGGACTTCTGTTATAATTATCAGTATTGCTGTATTGTAACTTGATCCATATACTTCTATTTTTAGTTTTATTTGTTTACATCTCATTTGCTCAGATAGGTAAAAGTCCATTGCAACTATTTTGTGTTCTTTCAGAGCATCAGGTACAATGCTGGACACCAGTTTATTTCCATCATGTTTATTGAACAATTACTGATACAGCAGGATAGAGAGGATAAGCATGACTGACAGCTGGATTAATTGTTCTTGGCCAGCCCTGGAAGTAGATGAGCTGGAGAAATCTCCTTCTGAAAGAACTTTCTCAGAAAGCATGCAGGGGTGAGGGGAAGGCGTGGGATTCCCTGGCAGTCCAGCGGTTAGGACTTTGTGCTTTCAGTCATGACTTGAGTCCAATCCCTGGTCAAGGAACTAAGATCCCACAAGCTGTGTGTGGCACAGCCAGAAAAAAAGAAGACTAGAAAGGACTCGGGGAAAGTGTTAGCTGTAAACAGATACAAACAGATAACTGACTCACGGGCTCTGAGAGTGACATCTCATGTTAACCTTTGTCCTTGCATGCCCTTTCTACTCCAGAGACTATAAAGTGTGTGTTAAACTTCACATTTGAATGCACATTTGAATGGAAAGATGGATGGATGGGTAGTCCAGAAATGTGCTTGTATTTGCTGGGCAGAGATTTTGAGAAAATTTGAAAGTAGAAGAGGATCCTCCTTCTCTTTTTAATCTACATGAATCCTTATTCAGTTTCATTTGAACTCTTCTGCCAAAACATGGGTTCTGAGGTAGCTTAGATGCTTTGAGGTAATGGCTGCATTTAGTTGCTGTAATAGTCACAGAATCTGATTACTGCCGTTTGATGTGCTGTTGTAAGTTTGTCAAGAATGACGTCTTTACAATTTTTCCCCTCCCTGCTGTCATTGTCACTATATTAATCAGTTTCCATTCTCTCTCCAGTTGTGTTTTGCACTCACCCTGTGTTCTGCCTTTTGGGTAAGTGTTTTTTAATTTTCCTTAACCTTTGTGGTGTGTGCCTCTTGTCATACACACTCCTGTAACCATATCATTTTTATTCCAGTGGCACAACAAAGGGCTTGCTCTCATCTTCTGCATTTTGCAGTCTCTGGCCCTGACGTGGTGAGTAACCTTTCCAGCTGTCCCCTCCCACACCGGTCTCTGACTAATGCAGCTGAAGGAGATAAAATCCCACATGATGTGGGCAGGAGGGTTAGGAACACAAAAGCTTTTCAATTTAAAAATCCTTAGTGATGCAAGTCAAGTACACTGTAGAGCCAAAACCTGTCGTCTCAGCCCGCTGCCAGTAGGTGGCCTTAGTGTTCTTGAGTGGTCGTCGGAGGCCAGTTGCCCACTGCGGCATTTTTGCTGGCCTCAGGGGTGATTTTGAGATGTTGCTAACATTATTCAACCATTCACGTCCAGTAAGAGGAAGGACAGTGGAGCATTGTAGGGGCTGGTAAAAAGAGACTTATGAGTCAAATGGACATTAAAGAAAAGGGAAGCTGGCAAAAAAAAAAAAATCATGAGTGTTATATTTATGGTTGGATGAATCATTTAACAGAAGGACAAAAAGTGTCACTGTCCAGGAACAGTGACTGATGAAATGGAAAACCGTGTGGCTGTGGGCTGCAGCACGCCCAGAGAACTGTGGCCCAGAGCCCAGGCATACAGAAAGGACCCCTGGGGACGTTATTGCTCAAAACCATGGGCGGTGCTGTAGGTTCATGGCCATTCAAACCTGTCCAAGCATGTACGGAAATAACAGCTTCTGAGCTTCTGAGACATTTCCGTAATATGTTCACAGCTTATCAAAGGACGATATCTGCCAGGACACTTTCATAAAAATGTGACTAGATCTACTTTGGGAAAAAAATGTTGGCTCTAATGCAAAGAAAGGAGGACTAAAAGCTTTAAAACTTCCAGGGATCAAGTGTAGTCTTATTTGATAGAATTCAATCTTGAGACTACATGCTTAACATCCATTCTTCCTTTTAGTAATTTTGGACTTTTGAATAAATGTCCATTTTAAATAAACATTTTAAATGTTTATTTTAAATATTTTAAAACATTTTAAAATGTTTAATAAACATTTTAAATATATGTTTTGAATAAACTTTCAAAATCCTTTTGGCATTTACTCTGTTCCAAATAAGTGAGCTTCTGTACGTGGTGAGTGTCAGAATCAGAGAAGGGTGGCCTGATTTTAATATAACACATACAGTGTGTTAATGTATTGAAAGGGCCTGGTGTAATGGCTTATGTTTGTATTTTGGTTTTCTTCTGGAGGCAGAAATTACTCCTCACATGCACATGCCTTTCTTTGCTTATAGACTGATTATGAAGCCAGTTTTTAAAGGTTCGGCATTCACACGGGCACAGGCAAATGGCCCTGTTACAACGCTGATGTGTTCCAACTATATATGCCTTCTTAGGGCTGGTTGACTTCCAGCCTGCCTGACACCCAGGCCTGGTCTTTTGGGATGTGGCCAGCTTCCTCCCTGTGTGGTTCCCTCCTGGGGAAGGGGCTGAGTTAACTGAGACCACCAGGAGATCTATGGTTCTTAAAGAATCGTATTTTATAAAAGAAGGATCACAGCTTGCCCACACGTTCATCCACAGAGCCGCTGGCAGCGTGCCCCCCCACGCTTCACCAATGCTCTCCTCACTCCTTTTACAATTCATAGGCAAGAGCAGAGAGTCTATCCCAGCTGGGTCGAAGGTGCATTCTGCTGAGGGTTTGTAAAATATTAGGGGACAACGGATCTGGATCTTATTTAGTGCTCTGTAAGAATAGGGCTTCTAGGATATCTGGAATCTGTGTGTTGTAGGTGCTGTTGCTGGCTCTTTGGTTAAAGATTAACCCCGTGAGGCTGAGGTGACAGTTACCGCCGCATGGTCCTCTTGCCCCCAGCTTTGATTATAGATGATGCTCGCTTCCCTGTTACACACGTGACACCGTGTGTGTGTGTGTGTGTGTGTGTGTGTGTATGTGTGTATAGGGGTGTGTGTGTGTTCATGCACCCTCCACACATTGCAGGTGCTCAGAAGCCCAGTTCACTGTGTAATCGTCCACTCCCTTCATCTGACTAGATCTTTTGTTTGTTTTTCATTGTAGGTACAGTCTTTCCTACATACCATTTGCAAGGTAAGACTGACTTTCCTTAGGACTGTAACGTCAATTATTTGGGGATGAGGATATGTTTGCACAGGTCCTTTTAGTTTAGGGTGGTTTTATAGAGCTCATGCTATTACATATTTACTAAAAACCCTTGAGACAAATAAGCAGATGTTATACACCTATTTTGGGCTTCCTTGGTAGCTCAGATGGTAAAGCATCTGCCTATAATGTGGGAGACCTGGGTTCGATCCCTGGGTCAGGAAGATTCCCCTGGAGAAGGAAATAGCAACCCACTCCAGTATTCATGCCTGGAAAATCCCATGGACCGAGGAGCCTGGGGGCTACAGTCCATGGGGTAGCAAAGAGTCGGACACGACTGAGCGATTTCACTTCACATACACCTATTTTATGATTTTATACATTTGTAAGCTAAGGCTCATCCCCAGCCCCACCTGTAATACAACCAGTGATGATCATTGACCAACGTCTGCCAGTTCCTGATGCTGGGAACATTCTGCTGTGATAGATAGATAGATTCCTTATCACTTTTTAAACCTGTAACTTTGTGGATATTTTCTTAAAGGTGATTATCACCTTAATAATCACTGAGCAAAGGATGGAAGGTTCATGCTTGTTTTCTTGCCCTATCCCACTGATGGAACATTTCAGAAAAGAATTCATAAAGAGAAGTAAGCAGGGCCAGAACTCTGGAGGACTATGGTTTCCTAATTAACAGTGTGACCTTGGGCAACTCATTTGACCCCACCTTGGCCTGAAAGGACTCATGATAACTAAGAACAGTTTCGCCCCTTCTCACTCTGAGCTTCTGACCTCAAGACCTCCTTAAATTAGCACTTTCAGTGATCTCTATCTCTGAGTCTGTTCTCATGTCACTCTTTAATTTCCATTCTTTTATAACCTGTTAACTAAAAAGGGGCTTTTCCTTAACTGTGTTAAGGAAATGAGAAGTGTGGGAGAGCTGGGAATGAGGAAGAACAGGCTTAAGTTTCAATGCCTTCCAAGCCTGTGTCTGACAGTGACCAGAAGATGCTGGGGAGTGACTGATTAGACAGGAAGTTAACCAGCTCATTGTGTTAAAGGCTGTGTGAATAGACTTTCCAGGTCCCTTAATATGTTATGTATATTGTGAGCTGCCATGAGGGGTCTTCCTTGATCATAAAACACTTTCTCGTGCATCTGCTGGGGCTTCAGCGTGGAGCAGATCTTAAGAAACGCAGTCCTAGAATGATCTTGATCGTAAAACACAGCGTCTGTTCACGTGAAAGCATTCTCTCATGCTCCCTCCCTCAGGTCCTCAGCACAGGTGCAGCTGAGAGCACAGAGAATAGGGCTTGGGTGAGAAGCCTTAGATGTGGAGGTGGGCTGGACGTGCCTGCGTGGTGGGCATGGGAGCTTGCTGAGCCCTCACTTTTCCTGCATGCTCCACACTGCATTCCAAGGAGTAGGTGCCCGAGGTAGGGCTGAACCAGCAGGGTCACAAGTGTCAGTCCTCAGAGAGAGCTCCATGTGCTAGGGACTGCACGATGCCTCTTAACAAGTTTCTGCTGCCTACTTAGAAGGAAGAAAGGCCCCAGAACCTATTTTATTTAATGCTTTTAGTGCATTCTGTGCTTCTGGTTGATATTAAAGTACACAGTCCTGACTAATTTTTTGGTTTCAGAAAGTTTCTGCTTTCTTCCTATTTTTTCCTCTGATTGTCGAGATAGCTGTTGTTTATTAAATACCTCCTCTGTTCAGTGTGTTAATCCCTGAACTGGTCAGTAGGATAGGTGGGAATGTGCCCTTTTGTAGATGAGAATTTGAAATTCAAATAAGTCAAGTAACTTGCCCAGTTTAACATTGCTAATAGATGTTGAAGTTGAAGTTGATGCCATGTAGATCTGACCTCATAATCTAGAAGCTTTCTGCTATGCAGCATGCTACTCTGGGTGCCCAGGAAATCTCAAGGAGGGCCCTTACCACTTACAGGAGGCTTTGGGTTGATGATCTCGTGTTTTTCTTTGTGTTTTTTCCTCCCAGGGACGCTGTGAAGAAGTGTTTTACTGTGTGTCTTGCGTAACACACAGCCAGGTTTGCAAAGCTCTGGAAAGCACCATGGATGGATGTGGGTGGACCGTGTTGTAAATATCTTCTAAACCTCTGTCTCACAGACATGTGCCTTTGATCTTGCAAGCAACGTGCAGCTTGCATTTTGAACCTTTGGGGATTGCTTCTGGAGGCAACTGTGTGTTCCCAAACCCAGATGTCTGTCACATGATACAAGAAATGGGTTCTATATCCGACAGAGTGGAATCTTCCTCATGTACCTTTGGATGGTGTTCCACTGAGCTCTTAGGAGTAAGAACCTTGTTAGCAACAGCAGATAAGCCTTGGAAGCCAGTGATTCCCAGTTGGTGACAGATGGCCCCACTGGAGACTCAGGTGCAAAAGGAAGGGATAGAGTTTGGGAGTCAATGGGACTTTGTAGATTTGTCCCTCAGCGTGTCGCGCCTGCCCCATACAACATGGATGTACTTCTCCTGTGGTGTCCAGGATCAAGCTGCCATCCTGACATTTGAACACGAGCCTGTGGACAGCCTGGCTGGAATGAAGTAGAAAAGCACTTTCTAATGATGTGTGTTGTTTTTAAACCTGAACAGCTCTCTTCTGACTCCACACCTGACTATGGAATGTATTTTCTTTCCTTCTTTTTTATTGGACTATAGTTGCTTTACAGTGTTGGGTGGGAAAGTATTTTCTAATGCTCAGTGCATACTCTCTTTCTTGGGTTTTCATTTCTTTCTTTCTCCCTCCCCAACGTATCTTCACTCGACCTCCTGGAACGAGATTGAAAGAGAACAAAGCTGCAGCAGTAAATATGAGTGTTTCCTTTTGGACAGGAGCCCGTAGGAGGTGAAAAACCATGCTGCTCTCTGCTGTATTCTGCCCCCACCACCATTATTTGTATATGTTTGCTTTTAAACCGATTTTATTTTCCATTCTCCCCTGGAATGGGGCCAGGGGAGAGTAGGTGGGAAGACAGAGCCCAACCGTGGAGCCAGCAGAAAGTAGGCACTCCTACCCAGTGACCTTTAAGCAGTCCCAGTGTTTTGCACTGGAGCCTGTGCTGGAAACAGTGGGAGAAGATGCCAGGGACTGCAGAGTGGCCATATCACAGCCTGATGCCTGATCACAGACAGACTGCTTTCATGTCCCTGATCTTGTCTAGTCCTGGTAAGAGCCTTGTGATCAAGCAGAGATTGTTAACCCACTTGGCTGTCCAAAAAAATCAAGGCTCAGAAAAGTTACTAGATCTACCCAAAATCAGAGTTGATGGCAGAACTGAGTCCTGAGCCTGGGTGCCCCTGCTTCAGTCCCCTTCTTAACCCACATTTCTGGATGTAGCTCTGGTGATATCTCCTGTAACTATTTTCCCCGTTTTCATCAGTCAAGCTTGTTCGTTTTTTTGGCCCCAGTCCTCTACATCATTGTATTTTCTCCTGCTTAGTCTCCCTGTGGGAAGCTTCCTCCTGGATCTGTGGCCTCTTCATCAGTTCTTTTGTGCCCGTTTGCCCCTCCTTACTGCATGACCTTCAGAATGTCCTGTATCGATCATCAGAGCTCTTGGCATTGCAAGGCCTCCAAAGTCTCCTTCAAAGCCAGTCTGTTTGGGTTTGCCTTTCTCTTCTTCCTGGTCTGGTCTGTCCACTCAGGCTCTTGCTCTGGGAGCCTCCAAACCAAAGGCAGTGTTCCACCTCTTGTCTCTTTGCTTACTAATTGCTGAATTCTTTTTTCTGCTGTAGCTGAGACCTCAGACTGGCAAGGCTTTTCTTCTGATCTGGGGAAGGTATGAACAGGCCTGATGGTGCCAGAGTGAGGAACCAATGTTACTGGGTCCTTTCTAGGCTGTTGACGGCATCCTGTCTTCTGCTGAGACCCCTAATATAGCTTCAGCTAGAATTGGAAAGTATATACTACCATCTGGTTACCTTCACATGCCTGGTGCTTCCAGGAGACTGCTCAGATCTCAGAAGGGCCCTGAATGGGGCCAGAAGGAAGTCAGGAGTCTTCATTGCTTCTTCTCTTTAAAGCTGATGTGAAACTAACCTGGTCTCACTGTGAGCTTCAACTAGCCTGGAGGCCACGAACAGCCAGAGGATCTCTGTGGCTGACCCCTCTGTACCTTTTTCAGAGGCTGGACTTGGACTTTGTGAGACATGAGGTTAAGAGGTCACCTGGCCTGTATGATGTCGTGGTGGTTAATGTGGGCTCTGAAGTCAAACAGGTCTGGGTGAGCTGTGTCTCAGTCACATGCTAGTGTCAGGTTGAACAAGCTCCTTAACCTCTGGTCCTCATGTTGCTCATCTGTTTAAAAATAATGGGGATAGTTGCAGCTGGATCATTGCAGGATGTCAATAAGAAAAATGTCAAGTGCTTAGCAGGGGGCCCAGCACAGGTAAACATCTCAGTAAAAGGTGGGTATTATTATTTAAGCCTGACAATAATGGATGACCATTGAAGGTGAGAGGGTGAATGTCTCTGGTCATTAATTTTATCTAAAAAAATTTATTCTGTAATATGTGTCTGGCACTACAGACATCACCATGCAACATCTCACTGAATATTCACAATAACTTTGCTAGACTAGCAGTGCGTGCTGTCGCTGGGTTGTGTCTGGCTCTTTGCGACCCTGTGTACTGTAGCTCACCAGGCTCCTCTGTCCATAGGATATTCCAGGCAAGGATACCATAGGCCAGCAGTCTTGTCTCTGTTATTAGACAAGCAACAGCCTCAGAAAGGGTAGAGGGTCTGTACCAGACCTCTCCGGCAGAGGACGCCAGTTCTTGGATAAAAGCTCCTACTTTGTCTCCTCTTGAGCCCTGTGGCCAGTTCGCTCATACGGGTCCGTCCCAACACCTGAACAGCGCATGGGTGATCGTGCCTTCCAGGATCTTCCCAGAGTCCTACATTTTTCTTTCTGCTGCCTTACCTTTGCGTTACTTCCCTACTTGTTTTTGTCGGCCAGATTGTAGGTGTCCATCTCAGATGTACTGAAAGCTGTTACCAAGCAACAGTGCTGGTTAGAAGCGACCCCATGGATGAGACAAGGAGTGGAGAGTTAGGGTTTTAGATCCTGTGGCTGTTCGTGGTCTGTTTTCCTGCTCCCCTGCCTTCCATCTTACCTGTTCGTTGCTGGTTAGATCTTTGCATTTTGGAATGAAGGCAACCTTTGAGGTGGCCCTTTTGTAGACAAGACGTGTGTTTGTTCAAGGCGGTGCTCCCAGCAGCGGGGTGGGAGGCTGGCCCGAACGCTCTGCCTTGGCTGTGTTGGCCTGTGACCACTGTGCTGGGAGCAGCCCTGCCCTCCAGTCCTGGAGGCCTGGATTCTTCTTAGGTTTCCCTGCCCCTTAGAAACTGCTTGTCTGATGCTGGGCTAGTGTGTTTACTAACACTAGCCCCCCACCTCCTGTCTCAGAGTTCTTCATTTTTGCCTGATGTGCTCAGGGGGGCCTCTGGCTCTCCAACTTCTCTGCATGGCTCTGCCTATGGCTATGGGCTGCTGAGACCCGGCCTAAGGTTTCCTCTCTCCCTTCCACAGACTGTCTTGTCTCTGGGAAAGAGCAAAACACTCTATCTGGCTGAGCATTCTCATTGGCCTCATTATCAGTGCTTGGAGCTTCTGTGCATCACTCCTGTGTGGTGACTGTGGATTATCCACCTGAGTACTATCCTAATCAGTATATGCTCAGAAGCAAGAAATATAATCATGAAATGCATCTAACATTACTTTTGGATACTTCCATTAGGAAAGATAATTAAGAAGAGGGTCATACCTTAAAAAAAAATGGTGTGAGGGTACTGGTTTGACTGCTTCTGCTTTTGATATCTGCATGAGAGTGACACATGTTACAACACATGTGATGAAACTTGGCAGAATGAATTAGAAAATAAAACTGCAGCCCTGTGACTTCGGTATTCTTTTTGTATGGGGTTGCCTATATAAGGCTTCTCTTCTCATCTCTTTCCTCAGATAACTTCTGACTAGAGTGGCTGCAGAATTACAGATACTTCAGAGTTCACAACCCATCCTTAAACTTCATTTTAAGCAAATAAAAACAACAAAATCAGTGTTTAAGGTTTATAAAGTCATTTTGCTAGATAGTAGGCATCGTTCTTTTGATTTTAAAATCCAAGACTTAAGTTTTTAGATATGCAGTAGTTTCCTTGCAGTTAGCATTTTCAAAAAAGTGAATAGACTCTCACCTGATGTTAAATACAGATTTATATGTATGTAGCTCTTGAAAAGATTAACAAAAGAATTTACATTTAAAAGTCTACATTTTTATTTTTACCAATTTTTATTTAAAAAGTTGGAAAGTTAAGTCATGTGACTTTAAAGTACCTTCTCATTTATAATTTTATGAAATTCTGAGATCTTGAGGGTTTTTTGGTCAAGTGAAGAGGAGAGTGCTATGTTGCCCCCAGTTTACTTGGGGTAGGGCATTTCGTCCCACTTTTCAGTTATCTAGTTCTACCCTGAATGCTTTAATAACACTCCCAAGGCCCTGGTACACTTAAGCTTTGCTGTTGATGGCTCAGATTTCTGCCCCTTGGCTTCACAAAGCGCTGGCAGAGATCTTGCTGCAGAGTTTGTGAGCAGAGCCCAGGGACCATCAGTGCCTTTGTTGATGTAAACTGACTGAATAAAATTATGTTCTTTCTTAGCTGGAGCTGAAAAACTGATGATGAGCTTGAAAATGTACAGAGCATTTTCTATAGATGGAACGAACTGAAAGCAGGGAAGAGTATGTTCACTAGGTAGAAGGAGCATGGCTATTTGAAGTGAAAGGTCAATCCATAGCATTGTAGTAAACAATCCACAGCATCGTAATAAACAACTACGACTGATGTGTATATTCAGAACAATGTCACTGCATTTTTTTTTTTTATCAGAGTATAATTGCTACAGTGGTCATTACATTTAATAAATAGCACCAAAACCAGACATAGCATAGGCAAAAATTCCCTGATATAAATGGCTGCCTAGATTTAATATCATTGTGGATGCGTGGGAGCCAT